TCACGCTTTTATACCTTAGTTGACGTTCATATACAAGCGGGAAGGCTCGGTGTAAGCTGTTGGGTGAATTTAGAGGACTTTAAACCTACTCTGCAGGTACACTGCAGAGGGAAACCACCATTCCTCTCTGTTACAAAGGGAGCCTAAGGGACTACTTTATGTGTTTGAAATATGGGAAAGAGGCATTGCGCAAGTACGACTCCTCATCTAGGTCACTCGCTTCACCTAAGGAATAAACTGCGCTCCAGCAGGGCAGTGTCTCTCCACCAAATATAAAAGAAATCTGAGTAACTAAGCCAAACATAGAGACCTAAACAGACTCCCTGTAGAAAAAGCTGTGGAGAAATTAAACCCAGCTACAACGGGCACAAAGTTCCTAAAGCTGAAGTTGTGCACTGAAGGCACGAAAACACAAAAGTTGTTGGGTGCTTTCCAAAGGAAACTGTGAAATCACACTTCCTCCCAATAGTTGTTTATACCTAGTGAAGTCAAAAGCACCCGAGATGATAACTGACAGATTAGAAAGGAAAAAAAAGGTTTCACTTTAAGTAGGCAAGCATACGTATCTGCTTACATAAGTCTTTCACCTAATAGCAAAGGGTTTGTACATACAGAGAAAAATTCATACAAAACCAGGCATGGCTAAGCCGTAACATTAAGCAGCATAGGACTCAAAACAACCTTTATCTCAGAGTTTTTCGACAGCAAAAGCCACCGAACATCCATCTTTTCTAGGTTCAAGGCACAGCGTTGCAACTGGGGAAAGATAAGGCGGAGGCCTGTAAAATGACTGAAGGGGCAGGACAGGAGAAGGGGACTGATCAGGTACCGCTCCTCACAAGACAAGCACAGCAAGGACATCCATAGACACTAGCAGGTAACAGCTCCAAAAAAACCCAACAACGGGAATTTTTCCAAACAGCACATACGTTGTCCCAAGGTTCTGCAGAAGCTAGACGCAACAAGAGTTTCTGTATGCTTAACGCTGACCGAGCACTGTGGGATGGCAAAATGAGTCCGGCTAAAGGGCTGCCCAAAACCAGTTCCACTCCGATCCCTGGCAGTACGGTTACAAGGCCTTACCAAAGGCACAGAAGCTGCTCACACCATGAGACTACACCAATATAATTTGCTTTCAGCACCTGTAGTCTCACTTAATCCCCTAAATCCCTTCCCAGCTGAAATAGGATCCCACATTATGTCTTACATCCTTAGGGTGGACAGCGGGCAACGCCAATACCTCAATTGCTGGGAAATACCAAGCGAAGCTTCTCACAGAGATGCTCGTACCCACTAGCGCTCACCAGCCCTCGATGTAAGGGATGGTAACTCACGTTACTATCGAGTAACGTGAACATGCAAGGGATGATAAGTAACTCACGTTACTATCAAGTAACATGAACCCATTTAAGCTCAACTACAGCAGAAGTAAGGAACAGTGGGAGAGAGGGGGAGGAAAAAACCCAATAAATCACTGCCAAGGAGTATCTTACAAGTCTTTCACAAGTTGGTCTTCTACCCAGTTCCAAACACTTATACATGCACTGCAGGACCCCACACCACATCAATCCATGCAAAAATATTTTCATTCCCTGTGAGAGGTAATAGAAGTGACAGAGTTTACAACCAAATATGTATTTTCCAAGTCTACAGCCACTTTCATCTCTTATAACAATGTACCATTTACTTCTCTACCATTTTAAAAGTATGGAGTCTGATCAAATTCCAAATTTGGTTTTGCTTCCGCAGGACTGTTTGGTTGGTTGGTTGATTGGGGTTTTTTTTGGGGGGAGGGGGGGGGCTGTTATTTCTTCCAGACAACCAAAAAGCACCACCGAACTTCTCTTTCTGTACAAAGTTATGGGAGTTATAAAAACACAGAAAAGCATACATCAAAGTTTCGATTGGATTTTGAGTTCATTAAATTATTACAAATGTTTTCATATAAAACCAAGCTTGAGCTTTTGAATTCTGGTCAAGGGTGATATTTTTCTGGTTTTAGTTTTAAAGCATCACTATCAATCAGAAACACAGATCTCCCCATGTGCTGCATGTCCAAATGGAATCAACTGAAAATAATTGGTAATGCAATAGCATAAAAAGGAAAAGAATGCTGAATACCCCTTGATAAAAGTAACAAGTATTAATGACAGACACCAAAAAAAAGGATTCAGACTAGGAGTTCGTAGAGAAGTTCTCTACTGATGGTATATTTTATGATGCTAAGAGAGCATGTTCTTCAATTACATGTCTTTAGGTTATTTTCTAACAGTTGCTCTGGGATTTAAATAAAAAAAAAAAAAAAAAAAGGCAAAACCCCACAACAGGTCTTTCTGCTAACTCAGGGTTAGCCAGTGAGTCGACTTCTAGACCGCTGTCTGGATAGCTGAACCTGGGTCACTCAATTACTGGATCTGATAACAAGCCCATAAGCGTGACAGGTTTTTATTGTAACCAGAAGTTGGGGAACATCTGCATAAACATCAAGAGCAGGTATCTTTGCACTGCAATTATTTAAAAAAAAGGCAATACCTGAGCCTGCAGTAGCACTTAGCTTGATTAACACCCACACAGCATTAGTATTTGGTTTGCTTTTCTGCCCTGTAAAGACTAATAATAAATGTAGTTAGCGAGTTAACTTACCAGAGCTCAGCTCATCACCTCTCATGCCAAAGCTGCAGATGAGAACACCAGCCTCTCCACACAGTCCTCACAACTACGAGGTCAGTGCTAAGCTCTTGTGCGTAGGTTCAACACCAGAGCACACGACACACTGCAGAGCTCTCCCACGTTGCTCTACAGAGAGAAACCACAGGAAGCGAAGATGAAAAGCCGTCACTCGGATCCAAGACAGAGCACTTGCCCCGCCAGTGAAGTGTCCCCTCACATAACTGCGGAGACAGCACGGCGCGCAGCCAGCACCACTGCATGCTTGAGTTCTCCCCGTGTACCCACGCTAAGAGGGAGGCACAATGCTCCCACCCAAAGCCACCCTTGATCACCTCCAGCCGGCTCTGCCCTCCAGTCCCAGCGCTCTGCGGAGCAAGACCAGCCTCCCCAAAACCAGATACTAGTGCTTCAGCCTGAGACACTTTGGAACAGGCCTGTAGCTGCACTCTCGCTTCCCCTCAAAGCAGGGAAGAGCAAGACTACTGCCATTCCCTTTCAGACAGACCACTGTCTAAAAACATCCAGGCACATTACAGTTGGAACACAGATGGACAAGCCCCACTGCTTGTGTTGAAAAGTCACTGCAGCATGTTACAGCATCCCTGCCTCTGGGTACTTCTCCAGCAAGGCTGTACCAGAACAGCACAAACACGTACCCTACTAGCAATACAGCAGCTTCAGCTCTCCTTTTCCATGGTAGAGACCCAGGACTCCTCCAAAGTTCTGTCATCTTCTTTGGGAATTAGTCCCCGGGGGAATAAAGCAGCGAGGAGTCAGCACGCTGCACGGGAGGGGAGAGAGCAACCAGAAGTATCTTGCTTTTCCTTCCCGTGCTGTCAAAAGCAGGTCTCTGACAAAACTGCAGCCTGGAACACAGTAGGGAAAAGATGCATCACTTCTCATGAGGGGACACCTAGAAATGGGTTGTCCTCCTATTCTGCATCAGGACCACTCACTAAACTTGATCCCCACTGCTAAAGGCAAGGGTGGCCTTAAGAAAGGTCAAAAAGAACTGCTGTGCTCCCCCGGCCTACCTTGTGGCTCTTCACCATGCCAACAGAGTGGAAACGCCACTCTCAAAAAGCTATTAAGATTCTTTCTTTATTTTGCTGAATGCGATAGTCTGTATCACTTTGAATCGCCATGTAACAAAGAACATCCTCTTACCAGATCAAGTAGGCTGTCTGCTCTGACAAACTGGCTCTCTCTGTAATTCCTCTCCTCCTTTCACAGACCAAGGGGAGATTAATTATGATGGTGCCAGGCATCTCAGCTGCACATTGCTTCCACTGCAGGAGAGTGTTTACACCAGTATCATTTCTTCTGTGAACTTCAGAATTCAAAATTTTCACCCTCATTCCTGTAACCTGGCACTCTAACAGTCATTTTATAACCAAAACAGACGACGATTCTGGTGTCATTCATGAGGAAAAAAACCTACAGGTTACCCAATGTGTATTTTATTGCTTAGGCAAGCAGGCAAAAACCAGAGACTAGAGTGGTTTTAAAAAAAAAAAAAAAGGGAGACAACAAAAAGAAAAAAAAAAAGAGTTCTCTCTGCTTCCTGCTCTGCACTATGATTCACACACCCTCGGATCACCGATGGACTCTAGCATGCTCTGCAGCACCGCTGCCCCAACAACTACGGAAGAGCAGAAGGCAGCAACAAGCAAATCAAAGCCCAGCAAAGGGCGGCAGCCAGCCCTGGGCTACAGAGGCTCCGCTGCTGAAAGCCCTTCGCTTCCTGATCAGGCTGCCTCACTCATACAGCTATTCCTGTGCTACTAGCCCAGGCTGTGACCATTACAACAGGTTTTAAGTGACCTGAAAGGAACTTTGCTCTGTAACATGCCACATCCTAAGCGCAACAGATAGGACTTTGTACCAGGGAACAGGACAATGTAAAAGCCACTCAGTTCAGTAGAAGAGTGACTGCTGATGAGGAGAGGAAATGGCGAATACTTTCAAAGATTGTTTCTGTAAGCCACTGCATGAAACGGTAACAGTTGTCCCTTGCACTACGCTGTACAAAGGCAGGGTTACAGAGGAGAGGGGCAGAGAGGAAATGCTACATTCTCCTCTGTTCTAAGCCTGTATCCCTCCCACACACACCACAGAGGGCCAAAAAAAAAACCACCAAACCCCAACCCAAAAAACCCAAGCCCACTCCTTCCTCCTCCTGCTTGAGACAGGCACCAGAATTTCAGAAAACAAAACCAAAACAACAAAAAACCAAAAAAGTTATCTGAAAGCAGCATGGAGTTGTTCTTCCTTTCCCCTTGGCAGTCTCAGAGGGCAAGAACAAATGATAGGAAGATGCCTACAGTCGCAGTCAATGATTTTTATTGAGACAAGACCGTGTATTGTGTAGAGAGCGCTTGGCAAACCTCCATCGCATATCCACAACAGTCCTTTCAGACACGGCCGTATCTCACAGAGCTGCTATTCTCCTGGGGCAACTGTAGTGTTCAAATCTGAGAGGAAAACAAGAAAACATTGATTTAAGGAAAAAGATGGCACTGAAACCACCTGAAAGCACTTAAAATCTGTGGTCTTCATTTCCCACCTGGACTCCCTCCCCACCGGCAGAGACAGCTCCGCGGCCAGCACGGTTAGGAAAAGCACCATTGGAGAGGGCCAAAACCAGCAAGCAGCAGCTGCCTTTTCAAGGCCAGGCCAAGTGCTCAGAACTGCATTCAAGCTTCTTCCACTGCTCTTTGTTGCTTCCCTTTCCCTTCTGTCTTCTTTAAGCCCCAGCGTGTGAGGAAAGAGCAGGCTCTAAGCCCACCCGCAGGAGGTCTGTGCCCTGGCTGAGACAAGGCAGCCTGGAGAAGGTCTGCAGCATGGTGGAAAGTCCTTTGTATCCACATTTCATGGGCACTGGATTAACCAGAGACAGATTAATCCTTGCCATTTTAAATACCTGCTATCCCTAGCAGGGGTGTCAAACTTCCATGATGTCCATTTGCTATCTTCTGCAAATTTGCCAGTCCCCTCCCCTGTTTTCTTTTTAGGCTAAAAAACTTAGATAGTTTAGATCAGATGCTGTTAAATTCAGAGCGCCACCATATAAGCAAAAGGATGATCTGCTCTCTGTTCTCCAGTCTGTACAATCCTCTCATAAATACGAAGGGGGAAATGAGCGAACAGAAATGGATCTGAAGGCACCTAGATACCACAGAAGATTTAGTCTTTATACACGGTCATATACATTCTCCATTTATGAGCATTTAAAGTATCATTCACGTGAGATCTCAAAGTCACTGTCAACACTACTTCTCTGTTACTACCCTGCAAGTAAGAGGAGGAAATCTACCAAGAGGAAAAAAAAAAGCAGCACAATTTTTCCATAGCAACTGCTGTAAACACCTCTACAGTCCCAGGCATTCACTTTGATCTGGGTGTTGGTGAACAAAGCTGTGAGCCATAGGTCAGACGGCACATACAGAAAGACTGTGGGTGTCACTGCTCCCTTCAGTATTCGATTTGACTCCTACAAAAAGAACGCCATTCCCTGCATTGACCTACCTGCTTCATTATATTCCACTGATTTTAGAAAGAGCCCAGATGGCGGAGCCATGGCATTTGGTGGAAAAGCCCGTGCATCTTTTATCTCCAGTAGCTCCTTTATATGATGAGGTGTTAACTTTCCCTGGCCAACTGCAACTAGAGCCCCAACCATTCTTCGGACCTGGAGAAACAGAGAACATGGCTTAGGAGCTGCCCTTGTAAAACTTAAAGAAATTACGAAGTTCTGTCCAGAGTCCCGCACTCGTGCTATCAGCAGTGTTGTGCTGTTTAACAGCCCACAGTCACTACTGACGGCAAGGCAAGCTAGAAACCTAATCAGAGTGTTCAGTGCCTGTCACTCAGGAAAGAATGGTATCACCACGATTTCTTAATATGAGCCTGCTCCTGAGTACAGCCACATATTATTATTAAACCCATAGTTCCCAGAAAGCCTAATTTCTGGCATTCCTCTACTGTTCCCAGTGCCATGCACTTTGCTCCTAGTCCAGCCGGATGTTAAGAAAGAAGCAATCATTTCCCCACACAAAGAATGTTTTGACCCTTGTTTTAGGTGCCACTGAGCTATCCCAAGCCATGGCTCAAGCTCACCCATCAGGGTTCAGGCCAGACCTGGCTGCCCCTTGTGTGCTGTCGGTATCGCATACCTCCAGGGAGCATTTCCAGTGCTCACTTTATTTCCTCAGAAAGATGATACTCCCTTAGTCCCCGAGCACGCCCCAGCAGTCATGGCCATCCCACAGTCTGCGGAGGAAAGGTGTTCTTCCCCCTTTTAGCAGGGACTGCGTGGGCTGCCTAGGTTCTGCGCTGATTGGGGTGACGGGACAACATGCAGCAGCTAAGCTTGTCTGCAGTGGCACAGCATCTTCTAGTGACCAAAGCTGGGGGAAGGGAAGGGAAAAGAACTAGCAAAATTACCTCGCTTCCCTTAAGTCTTCCCTCCCTATAACTAAAGACATTTGTAAGAATGAGATGAGGACTTGTAACACAATGATCTCCAGCTACACAGCACTGCCTCGGAGCAAGGCTTGTTCTCATCACATGTGGGAGGAAAGCTGAGCAGAGGATGGTTTCTGTTTCAGAAACGGCAGCAGCAGCAGCAGCACCCCCGGCACATCTGTCCGTGGCAGGAAGCTCACACACTTGCTGGGAGAAGAGCTTACAGGTTCTTAACACATAAGCAACACTGTTTCCAGGTGGGGGGACTATACGGGGGCTTGTTTCTCTCTCAGAAAGCCAAAAAAAGAGGTGGGGAAAAAAAACCAAGCAGGACAGCCCACCAGACAACATCCCCCCAGTGCAGCAAACTGGTATTTCAAACACCTCTGCATGTCACAACTTCCCTTCCTTCCCTCCACGCTCAGCAATTCCAGACCTAGCACAAATTTCACACCACAGCACTCACCTCCTGTGTAGATAGCTCTCACATTTCAGCATCCTCTTGGCTGAAAACCACCCTTTCCTCCTATACCCCTAGAAGACGTGCTGTGCCAGGAGGGCCACGATTTGCATCTGCCAACACCACCTGCACACCAAATGCTAGCTCCCTATTCCATCCCTGGGGGGTGGATACATTTCTCTCCAGTCCTTTGATGAGCTGAAGGCATCCTTCTGAAGGCAGAGTACTGACCACTGATCTTCCTGGTACTTCTTATGTCAAGGCAGTCTCACAAAGTTGCTGTTGAGGAACAACTGACAAGTAAGAGCCTCTCAACTTGTGCCAAAAGCACTTTTGGGAGTGCCTAAAATGATAAAAGGAGACTCTTATCCAGAGACTAGTATACAGGCGATTACATGCTTCCCATGGGCATCAAGAAAGCCTGCGCAAGAACCACCTGGGGATGGTTCAGGGGAACGTCTGTTTCCCTGGGGAAACAAAGGATGAAGACAGAGAAGGGCAGTCCTTTTCAGGCTTTTGTTCAGCAAGAGATAAAGCTCAAGGAAAGCTAGGCCCCGTCCCAGTGCCACTGGGGTGAACAGGCTTGTATGAACAGTTCCATCATGAGAAATGCCTCCATGAGGGGAAAGAAACAGCACAACGCAATGAACTTAACCAGCCTGTGGTGTCCAGCTACGCAAGAGCTGAACCCCCCTCCCAGAACCTCCCAGCACTTTGCTTGGGCTTGCCTGTACCCATTTTCACAGGAGAGCTCAGGCTGCCTAAGGGAACATGCCACAGATTTGCTGGGCCCAAGCCTTGTTTGACAGAGGAGCCACACAAACTCAGCCCTTCCCATGGGCTGACCCCGAGCCACCCCACTTTCACCATTTCCTAAGTTGCTTTTCTCTGTCCACGCTGGAAGAACTGTCTTCCAGTCTCAAATTTTACAGGCAAAAGCAGTACCAGCCTACACGGCGGAAACTGGTCAAGCAGACACTGTCCTGCCTGATTCACCTTCTTGCGCTGCTGCCAGAACACAGCCCCACTTGCACAGGTGTGATCAGTCATTTGGCCTAAATAAACATTCAATTAAGGACCTTTCAAAGCGCACCAAGCTCTCAAAACACTTACATGTAGTGGTGTAATGAAGCATTGGTCTGAGTTCCTGATCCATTCACACTTACAAAAGAATAAACCAAAGTCCACTAAGCAATCTGATCACGTTTATCACCGTTAACGAAAAAGGTCCAACAAGCCAAGATATATTTATCCAAAGGCAAAAACTGTCTCTCCCCATCTTAAACTCCACTGTGGAATGCCAAGAGCAGATGGCACAGAGAAGAAACACAGATCCTTGACATATGTTATTTTATCCATCCCTCACTAGAGGTCATTGTATGCTGTGACTTCAGCTTTGATGTCTCCACACTTGGAGCTAGCTAGTATAAATGCAGACTAATGGTATGCATCTGAAATAGCCATGGGCTTGGTGTCTCCCCCCTTCACATACTATTCAGCAAAAATATCTACATACAGTTTCTGGGGCTGTTTAACCCTTTTCTCTAATAAAAACAGAGATCAGAGATCCATCTAGTCTAGCCTCCCTCCTCTTTACGATGGAGAGCTGAAGCAGATGCTCAGGTAGAAGAATGCAAGTTCAGCACATACAGCCTGTTCCCACTTCACTATAGCCTGCTACAAACAAGGTTCAGAGAGGACATTAGGCTCAGCTGAGTTATTACGGGTATTATTCTCTCTGCACCACGTCACCAAGTAGCATTTCCGTTCTAATGCACTAAATGGGTTACCAGCATTTTCTCCTTGCCACAAGAGCATCCGATGAAGCAAATCCCTGCTGTATAGCAAGCCCTTCTCAAGCATGTTGTTGTTCTTCCTTTGCTCATATCCAGACACCCACTGTCAGAGAGCTTACAGAGCATTACTTGGCACAGGATAAAAAACAAATTTGGTTTGTCAAAACAGAATAAAAAATAGCTGCTTGCTGTTCCCACAAAACACCCCCTCTCTCCTCCAAAAAACAAGCCCTCTCTTGACTACTCTCTGTCTCCAGAGTGTGACCATGGCCAGGATAGGCAGACTGAGAACAGCCAACTCTTTCCTAATGAGGTGATCCATTAAGTTGTGGAGAGAGCTGTCTCCCCTGAGGAGAGCAGCAAAAACCCCACTGGAGTTATTTCAAAGAAAACCCAGTGGAGACTAGACAGCATGGCAGAGGGAAAGATCCTGCAGTCATGCCTGCATAGCTGAATCAGGTCTTCCCATCTCTCCTTTGTGCAACACTGAGAATTACTTCATGCTCCAAAGCCAGAAAGTAAAATTCCAGGCAGTCTTTGCTGGGCCCAGTGCCATTCAGAAGAGCAAGAACATATGTCTGCTGGTTTTTACCACTCAGACTGCAAGGACAAAGATTGCAGAAAACAAAACTTTCCATCCTCCCACACAATTCTGTGACTTTGGACATTCATTTTAGACACAAACTTAAAGAGATCCTGGTTCTACCAGATCAAAGAAGGAATACAGAACCTCACCTCTCTGATGCTAGGTCCCTGCGTGTGTCACGCAGCTGTAACGCCAGCTCTTCAACAGAGAAGGCAATACACAGAGATGCAACATTGCTAAACTGATCAACAGTTACAGGAATAGCTACGCGTCGGTTCCTGAAGGCAAAGTGTGCGTTGAATACAGCACCAAACAGTACCTGTCGGTAAAGAAATGCTCTGCTCCTGAACGTCAACTCCCAAAACTCCAGTCCCCTAAAGAAAGGAACAAAAAAAACACATTTAAAAATCACATTTCAAATGGCTTTTCTAGTCACAAAACAAGTATAAACCACAGGTGACTGTGAGTAGAATAAGAACCTGCACAGCCCCCAATTAACCTGAAAGAGCACCACGAGCTTCTGAACACCAGACTGCTCATTTGCTACTCAGATGCAGACATTTTCTGAGGTGAAATAATTCCTTCCTGTTTTGTATGTACCTAGTTTTATGGGGCTTGATCTTCCTGCTGCCTTACACCTAAGTGCATACCAAATAAAAGGGAAAGGGCAACATAAAACAAGGTGCAACTTCGCAGTCTGCTAAGGCACTACTGATTTGAGGCATGCAGTCCGATGCCTCCTGGAGAAAGGAAGAAACAACCAAGCATAGCAAAGCAACTCTACCATTTCATTTGCAGCTGGCTTGAGAGAGTCACATGGTCCTTACAGGCTTAGCTAAATGAATTTCAACGCTCAGCAATGCCTACTGTGACATCCACGTGCTACCGGGAAGGCCAGGACAAGCAAGTCAGGACACAGACATGCAGGAGGAATCCAGCTGCAGCACAAGACGGACAGGCAGTGGCAGACAAGGAAGCTCCGCAGGCCAAGAGGGAGCAGAGCAGGAAACAGCAAGTGAATATTCGGGGATGGATTGATGCTACTATGCAAAAAGACATCCTTTTCCCCTCACCAAATCTGTCTGTTCATATAGATACTACTTTCCAGAAAGTTTTATGGTAGTAACCAATATTCCTTATAAGAACTCTACTGAGGCTAACTATTCCAACACTTCACTGACACTTGCATCCTCTGCTAAATCTTTACAAGTTGCTTTCTAAATATCTTTGTGGTGATGGTTCCAGTACCAGCTCTAACACTAAAACCCAATGCAAACCCATTTTCAGGGACAGTCCTGCAGGGAAGAACCTGTATGCACATTTCCTTCCTACAAATAAAAAAAAAACAAAAAAAAACCAAAACCAAAAATAAAATTATATGCACATTAGATATATATAAAAACACACACACACGCATATCATACATCAGATATACCAAGAGAGCATATAAGCAGGTTTTCACTTCAGTACCTGCATCCTCAAACTTCCATGCCACCAAGCAATCCTAGAAGTCACTTTGATAAAAGTAACCATAAAATAACAATAAAAAATAAACTCACTAACAGTTTACAAGTGCTCCTTATATCCCATAGCATTCCTACAGCAAAAAGAGACAAAGCTTACCTTGTATAATCCAGAAAAGCAGACATTTACATGCAAACTCTCTCCTCCCTTGCAACAAGCCCAGTAACTGGGTATTAAAGGGCTACAAAGATTTGAGTCAGCTGTGAGAAAAGCCCAGCTGCAACATATTTGGAGGGTTCAGATGGAGAGGCTGGGTTTGCTGGAAACACTTGAGTATCAAGAGAGGGGCTGCTAGTTCCCTGGGAGAGGAGACAGCTCTTGTGAGCCATAGAAGAAAGGTGAAGGAGGGATGATGTGATTTACAGACCCACATCAGGGCAGGGCTCGCAGGAAGAGAAACTCTGAAATAGCCATGTAGGGAGCATTGTAGTCTCACAGGGTTTACAGATAAATTACTGCTTTTAGCCCTCCCTGTCGTGTATGTTGGCATATGCAAAGGCAGCTCCTGCTCCCGGATTTCTCTTTATGTCAGGAAAAAGACAACGTTTCTATCACTTACTTACAGTCTGCTCTCCGCCCAGCTCAATGTGCACGGCATACAGGCATGTGCATTGCTACACACGAGCACAAATACCCAGTGCATGGAGGTCATAATTCAGCTCAGCTTTTTAGCAAAGCACAGGAGACAATTTTTTCCAATAGGGACAAATCTTGCTTGCATCAAATTGCACGCACCCTTCTTTAGTCAGGATTCTCCCATCTCGGTTGTCTCGACAAGATATATTAAGTTACAAAAGATGGGTCAAGATACTTCGGAAAAGTATCTTGTAGACTTTGAAAGAGAACAAAATACTTTTCTTTAAGAGGGAAACTTTGTTCTTCTTGTCAGTCTTGCAGATAATTTTGCTTACCAACAAAAAATCCAGCTGCCTCTTTCCACTTAGCAGCAGAAACCAGCACCTTGCAATGAATAATACATATTCTGCTCTAAACAGGTGACAGAGCAATCACTCCCTAGGAATAAGTGATGGAGCTAAGTCTCTGAACACATCCTTAGCATTCAAAAGCATTTTGTATGTATGGGACACTAACTCCACTTCCACTGTTGCTGAGCAACTGAATTTGATGGAAAGAATCATTTTAATAGTTAGCCTTTTAAACAGACAAGTGGTCAATTCAGAAGATTGGTTTCAGTTCGGAAAGGAAGGAAAGAATGAGAAAGAAAAGCTGCATTATTTGACTAAGAGACCATGATTTATCATTCTTCCCTCTGAAACAGAAAATAGAACTCCTTAGATCAGGCTAAAAAAAAAAATAAATTTTAATTTATTTATAAGCTTTTACTGCTATCCCAGCCCTTTCATTGCAGGAACAGTTCATTCTGCTACTGCAGTGAAGAAATACACATGCAATTCAGGCATATTTGCAGAATGGGCAAACAAACGCCGAGCTCCAGGACTGCAACTGTTCCCATAGGAGAGTTTTACAGCTTAAAAGTAACTAGGACACTGTCATTAAAACCCCTCCAAAAAAAAACCAAACAAAAAAACCCCTCAACACCACCTGGCCTGTCACAAAGACCCAAATCCCACAACTTTTTTTCTCTAGATCAGAGAAAAAACTCATGGTTGTGGTTATTACTAACAAAGGATTCTAAGCAAGCTAAATGCCATTTTCATGTATTGAAATTAAAGCTTCTCAAAGCCATCCCCTTCAGCCTAAACATTCATTAAATCAATTAATATTGACACATTATAAAAATGACTCACTATAAAACACAAGTTTGGCTGCCTGTGCCACTACAAGCAAAAATATTCCATCAGCAACTAGCTTGATGCTTTTGATCCAGTTTTTAGGTTTGCTCGCTCTCTCATGAGCTGTTTTTGGCCTCACGTGGGATGGGTTTATGCAGCAAGTTATGCAAAGAATGGCAATTTCCCTTTTTTACATTAAAATCGAAGATGTAAAAAAAGAGCTGATCCGTATTAAATCTCAGAGATCAGTCAGCTGACAGGAGCAGGTCTGGATTTGGAAGGTAACCTGGTCCACGTGCACTCACAGGTGATCTCAACAAGACTGTTAATGGTTATTTTCAGGTTAGCTCAGGACTCTGCTACTCATCATAAAGGACAAGATAATCTTGTGGATGAAGTAACATTTCATTGTCACTTGTGTCCCTAAGCATAACCACACTTGACAGAGGGAGGGTAAGCTCTCCATTCAGCAATGGCAACCC